TCAGAATCTCAGGGAGGCGCGCGCCCCCTTCCTGTATCCGCCCCTGAGAGTATGTTTATGTCCAATTTAAGGCAATTCTGATGTTTTTTTTTTCTCCAATTTCCCAAAATATTTAGCAGTTAAATTAAAAAGTGTGTTTGATTTGATTTGAAAAAACTTCCACTATGTCTTCAAATTATAGCGAGGGAAAGAACAACTTCAATTTCGAAGAAACATATGTTCAAATAAACAATAGAGCGCCAACCGGCTGTCAACCCAGCGCAGAACGGACGAGGAAGTGGAAATGTATAATTTCCACCTCTTTTCGTCCTTCTGACTTGTGAGGTAGGAACTTTCCTTGGGAATCTCACTTAAAACGCGGTGGGCATGGTGAAGAGAGGGGGAATGCCCGCCAACCGCTCCTGTTCAGGCCTCAGTAGGTCCATATTATTTATTCACAACAAAAAAAAGCTTCCGACTCAAAAGGCAGAAAGCCTCATTTTGGGGTAGTGAAAATACATCCACCTCTCAGTTTCTGCACACCGAAACCTGCCAACTATTACGTTTTTAACTTGACCAAGGACTTGGCATACCGGGCCACCAAAAAACGGCCTTCTAACAGATGACGGAGGCTTTTGTGTCACGGGCTCTTAGACTATTAGTCTAAACAAGACAGGATAAGATTTTGGGGAGATTATTTTATAAATAAGTGTAATCAGCCAGACCGCCCAGACCAATCGCACGGACATCCCCTCAGAAGCAATAATAATTTTTCCTTGAGTGTGAGCGCGAAGGTACTATGTATGCGTTTGAGAGTGAGCAAGATATTTATGTCAACATTACTGATTTCCCCCTCTTAAGGTACGGTTTGTTGATAGTACGCGACGCGCACAACTGACAACGTAAACGTTGTCATTGGTTCAGGTATGACGTACACCCGTTACCTGACGTCAGCATCAGCGTCAGAAAACGGGTGAACGTCATACCTGAGCCAATGGCGACGTTTACGTTATCAGTTGTGCGTCGCGTACTATTTTAACAAACCGTACCTTTAAACTTACAGTCTACTTCAGGCTAGAGTAGAATAGTTATTTACATTACAAGTGCGTTTATGAACATGATTACAATAACGAGTGTGAAAGATTAAAACGACAAGGTCGTAGACCGAGTCGTTCTAATCACACGAGTTGAGCACTTCAGACTTCAGGTGCAACAAACACTTTTCGAAAGGAATAAGCGCGTAATGCCCCGTAGCTGTTCCAGAGCTCTTTCTAGGCGTGAAAGTAGCTTTGTTTTCGTTCGAAACTTGTAACGGTTCTGGAATTGCGCAGAACTGCTTGCGCACAAAAAATAATAGAACTAATACTAGTTCTGAACCAATTCGGAACCAAAAAAACCAAAACACAAAATTCTAAAACAGTTCCTCCTTCAGAGCAAGAACTGAGAGAACCGTTCTAGAACAATCCCAGAATTGTTCTCAAAAAGTTCTAGATAAACCAAAACATTGTCAACACAGTTCGATTACGATTCTGAAAAAACCAAAACGCGTTTTGTAATATGCGCATGTGCAGGATGATTCCGAACTAGTTCTGAGTGAAACCAAAACAAAGCTATACAGCCATGCGCCGTCGGGTGTAGGGCGCTTTCGCCCCTAATCGGTCGCGTGACGTGTTGGCGACCGAGACGAGAGCCGAGAAGATGGTATGGAATGCATCAGGCTTAATTCATATACTTGCGCATCGCGCATTGCATAAATATGTCAAGCGGTGGGAAGCCAACTCAACCAAAGGGATCATTATTCGCTTTCCGCATTCCGCAATCCGCGATTCGCAAGTATATGAACTAAGCTTTATTAAAGAATTTTTGCAGATCTTTTTGATTTTAAAAAGGGGGCCCTGCAGGGCTCCCAATGTTCCAGGGCCCCAGCGCTTCGCGCTCCGCCGCTCATCGATAGCTACGCCACTGGTTAATTTTTACATCATGTTTTGTCTTGTCTCAGGACGGCGATTCTCGAATCGTGTGATCCCTGTTCTCATAGGAAAAGTACGTGTGGTTTCTATTAAAATCTATTACGACGTATTCTCGAAATTAGGGACCGTTCACTTCCTATGAAAGTCGAGAGAATTTTATTCTACTACTTTTTTTGAAGAGAACGTCTGTTCTCGGGAGAACCAAACGTCAAACATGCGCTTTTTGTCAATTTTACAGTCATCATCCATGGTATTTTTTTGTTTGTTTTGCAAATCATTTATTATCAGTAATTGCCAATTGACCTTTTCAATTTAGAAGCCTCTCTCTCTGGCGTCAGACTGTCAGATGCCAAAAGAGTATGAAAAGTATGAAAACAATGATTGACAGCTATTGACAATGGTTTGTTGACAAGAGTTTTATACGTGTGAGACTGGAAACTATTATTTCCTCGGTTTTTTCAAAGTTTTTTCCTAACAATGGTGATTGTGTGTAGTGTGCCTTTTCGTGAAAATAATTCCTATTCACCGGCGGACGTGTCTTTCCATAAGTTTTCATCAAATCCTACATTTGTCAAAATTTGGATACACAAAATCAGATCTGATACTCGCAAAAGTAAGGGAAATCCACGATCCATCAAGTATACAAAGATATCCACGTTCAAGTTTAGTTTGCGGAAGCTGTTTGCTTCCCACATTTTCTTTCCAATTTCAAATTTCACCATTCTATGTCGGTCATTGTCATTCTCCATTCACTGAACAAAGATACCTTACTTATTGGTGGAGTCACCGATTAGAATAAAAACCAGGGGATTGCTAAACACCCTATACACTTGACATTGACGAGCAAGCAAATGTTGGCGGGAATCTGAATGTTTTCATACTTTATCGTCCATCTCTTTTAATTGAAAACGTCAATTGGGTACATTTGCATATTGTGTTGAAGTGGAAAATACGGTCTAATACGAAAACGTGGGAAACCATGGAAGCTGGGGGTTATAGGAAGAATTCTTGTACTGAATGATCTACTAGATGCAGAAGAGCAAGAAGAAAGGCCTATAATAGGAGATTTCACAGAAGAGAAAATCCTTTTGATTTAACGGATAATAAATTTATAAAACTATTTAGATTAAGCAAAGATCTTGCTCGAAATTTACTTGCTTTATTGACACCTTTTATACGGACTTCAACTAGAACTTCATCATTAAAAACTGTGGTAAAATCGGAGGTAAATTTTCCATTTTGAAGTTTCTCATTTTGCCTTACAAATTCAATGAGCAGTTCTTTTTGAGTATGATTTATAGGTGAACATCTTGATTTTTCCAAATTCATTTTCCACATAAACAAAACAACACGAAAATAAAAATTGTAAATAGAATGATTAATGATTTGATTTTCAGTAAATAAATAGGCAAAGAATGAGATTACGTCCCAAAACACAAATAAAACAAACCCCTCGTTTTTATTCTAATCGGGATTCACCGATGAGTTAGCTATCTTTGTTTAGTGAATGGAAAATGATAATGACCGACATAGAATGGTGGATCCTTCGGTAAAATTTGATGAGAATAAAAACACAGGGATACTGGTTTTCTTCTTTCTCATGACATTCGTCCTTTTAACGCACTAAAATTGTGGCTAATTTTACATATTACTGTTGGCAACAACGCATTATGATTTGACAAGTTTTCTCTCATTCTATCATAATCCCATACGTTCGAGAATACCAACTTTGGCACCAAGAGAACGAGCGTGCGATGTGATCTCTCACTTCTCCTAGGGGAACGTTCACTTCTACCAAATTCGAGAATCGACTACCAGTTATGTTATGAAGCATCTGAATCCAGGGCCGGCTCCAAGACCCGTGCAGCCTGTGCCCCTGCACGTGGCGGCAAAATCGAAGGGCGGCAAAAATCTCAGGGAGAATTGTTGGGTAAAAAAAACGACACTACAAAGTACAAAAGCTTCAAGATTTATTTCAACAATTATCGCGTTCGCCTGCTCTGATCAATTCCAAACGATCTGAGCACAGTTCTAAGGACTTAATAAGTACGCAACTAGTTCTGCGCAGTTCCAGGATGGTTCGCGAACAGTTCGAAAAACGAGAACCCGGAGCGCTTTGGAGCACCACGGAAGTGCCCCGTACTAGATTTGTACCTTTCCAGTATCATGGCGTGAGACGCATGTCCCTCCTGCCCCCTGAAGCTACACCCGATTTCTCGGAGCTTCAAGCACCGGTGACTTAATATTTTCTTAAGAAATGCACTGCCACTAGCCAGTCACTAGTTGCAATTTATTATCACCTTGTTTCAATTGACTTTGTAAATACTGGCCGTATTCGTTTTTGTCATCTTTTTCATCGATTTGCTCCGAAATTTTGACAGGCACGTGACTGGATCAGACAGTTTCAATTTACAAATCACGTGCCTGCTGTCAAAATTTCGGAGCAAATCGACGAAAAAGATGGCATAAGCGAACACGGCTACTATACGACCGTACACGTATTGTCCGTCGTTTTTAATCTGACACTTTCCGTATGAGGAGCGAGGACGTGAAGCTTATGGCAAAAACAGGTGTGACGTCAGGTGACCATTGGCGTTCTAATGTAGGGAGCCACCAGCTCACATTCCTTTGGAGTATCAGATTAAAATCGACGGACTTCACAGCTCGGGAACTCAACACTCCCCAGTAGCTCCGAGCGTCATAGTCACATACTGGAAAGCAGCTCTAGTTCCATGCGTCCGCATGCGATTTGCAGGTTATGTTTTGGTGTTATTTGAGAGTTGCTGCCAATTGTAGGTTGCATTACTATAAGTTTAGCAAATAGGTAGTACCGAGGGTAGTACTGGAACTACAAAGTAGGAAAGTAATCGGTAAGAGGGGCGGCAAAAATACCTTTTGCACAGGGCGCCGAAATGTCTGGAGCCGGCCCTGTCTGAATCGATTTGAGAATTTATATATGAAAGACATTCAAGTAGGTCCCCGTCCCCTAAGCCTTTGGACCTGTTAACTGTTTATCAACGCAATAATCCTCGAAAAGCAAACGCACATACCTACATTAAATTAATTGCATTTATTTATTATTAAAACTGAACAGAACTCAAAACTCTAACTATATAGTAGGTACCTAATATGAATAATTAATTAAACAAAAAATTCTGAATGAAAAAGCTACATTCTAATAACACAAAAGTATTCTGAGGAAGCATTTTTTTTCTTATGATTAAGGTTAACCTTAAGTCGGAACAAAAACTACAAATAGATAGTACCCATCTATTGAAGCTTCTTCATCCTCTGTTCGTTGCAGTGGGGGCAGTATGGGCACCAAGAAGTTTCATCCCTAACTTGCTTGCACTGCAGCATCTCTCCCTTTCCTAAAATCGGTCTGAGGGCTCTACCTTGCGCATCAAAAACTGGCTTGTAATTATCCACCGGTAACAGCTTGTACCCGGGTTTGGGGGCGTGGGATTCAGAAATTGGCTTGTAATTTTTCGGTAACAGCTTGTACCATGTCTGCCAGGTGTCCTTCCTAGGTTTTTCGGAGAATGTGGAAAATTCTGCTCCATCGACAGGGGGGCTTGAAGACATGGGTGCCCCGATCTGCCCCATGGCTCTTCCAGAGAACATGGAAAAAGGCTGTTCATCGACGGGGGGCTTCGGAGACGGCTTCAGTGTGGCTTCTGGTGAATTTTTCATATCATTTTCTGGTGCTTCTGGAGCTCGTTCAGTACTCATTTTGGGTTTTATTGTTAATTTTGTTTGAATAATTATCAGAGGCACAGCGTTGCCAGACTTTAAATATGGAAGTGTGGTACACAATGTTCAAAAACTGTCGTACAGGGACGTACGCGCCACAAATACTTGTGGTACACATTACTTTACATTTTTAGTAGGTACATATTTACTTGAAAAATATGATTTTTTTGAGAGCGCAAAATGTTAAAAACTTGAAAATAGACCTTGAATTAAAAATTACAGCAACAGGAGTGTCCGGAAATCAAATAAAACTATTTATTAAATTTACTAAAGTCATCTCGAGTACTTTGTGGATAATAAGTCAAATGGGAAATAATTTTTTTTGTAACGTTGACAATAATTGCTAACTTAATATGAAAATTCCTGTCAAAAAAATTTCTATCGGAATAATCCTCGAACTTTGATAATTGCTCAACTTTCTCAAGCTTATAAGGCAATTTTTCGCAAGGATAATTAAGCATAATCTGATTATGCTGGGTTATTTGATGTGTCAATTGTGTCATACTCCCCTCTAACTCCCTCTCCATCAGATTTTGGGCCTGCGAGTGACGTCACTATCAACAGATTATAATGATGACGTCACCCGCAGACCTCGATGGAATGGTCGCGATTCAGGATGTGCTAGGAGTTAATTTTTTTGGTCTGTTCTCTGTTCTTACAGTAGAAATTAGGTATTCTTGGTCCCCGACGGAGTAAGGGGAGTATGACACAATCGACATCACCTAATCCAGCATAATCGATTATGCTTGATTATTCTCGCGAAAAATTGCCTATAGACTGTATTCAAGCAACTCTGTTATAAATTTTTTTTCCCAATTTGGCCAGCACTCATAAGAAAAAAGGAGAATTTAGAAAGGTACATATTACCATAAAATATTACCCACTCAACCCAAGATTTCAAAACTGTGGTACATTACCGTACTACCGTACGCATTGATTTTCTTGTAACGAACATGCCCCGAACTGTCGTACAAATACTACACCTGTCGTACGTCTGGCAACGCTGCAGAGGCACGAAACGATTGGTTTCCAATGTCAGTGGTCAATATTGATCGTTTACGCTAGAATCATATGGCTGGGCCGTGGACAGAGTCGAACTAGGATTCGATCACTCATCGATACCGAGAATGATTATCTTCTATTTTTACTGTCGTCGATTGTGCGTTTTCTGATGACTATAAATAAACCAATTCTGGAACCGCACTCTCTTCCACACTTATGGCACACCCAGCCTCTGGCAGCATTAGACACTTTAAGCAGGTTCTGAATTTCAAACGTATCCGTATCCGCATCGATCTGCGCATGCGTAGGATGGATACGATGGTTTCGTTGCGTTGCGTTATCCGTATCATTACGGGCCTCGTCTCGTATCCGTATCTGGAAACGTATCTCAATAATTTGATAATAGACCTCTAAGCAAACCATAAATTTTTCTACGTATTCCTATCCGCATCCGTAAACGCATCGACTTACGTTGTCTGCCTCACAAAAGTCACTTTAAGAATGGCCATACATTACGTAAACGATCGTATTCTTGGATGAAACGTTTTCTAACCTCAAAAAATGTGATGTTGATTTTGTATTTGTGTTTGTAGGTTTTCTTTTAATCTATATGTACTGTGTTTATGTTGTTTGAGTTATTTCAGTGATAACTGACAGAAATATCTCTCAATAGTGTCAAATGTTTGAGATACGTTTTCGGATACGGATACGAGGCAAGGCCCGTAACGATGAGCACAACGAAACGGAACGAAATCACCGTATCCAATCTGCACATGCGCAGATCGATGCGGATACGAGTACGTTTGAAATTTATGACCTGCTCAAAACGTCTACTATTGAGAGATCTTCCTGTCAGTTATCACTAAAATATCTTTAACAACATGAACACACACCTGCAGACGCAGCTACAAAATCAATACAGCACTTTTGAAGTTAGAAAACGTTCATCCAAGGATACGATCGTTCACGTAATATATGACCACGCTTAAAAGAACTTTTAGGCGGTCAACATAAGTCGATGCGTTTACGGGTGCGGATACGGATCCGTAGAAAAATTTAGTGTTTGCTAAAAGTGTCTATTCTCTTCCCCTCTCTCGGTCCTTTCTGCGGTCCCTCTTTTCGGTCTCGTGTCTGTCGCTGTTCGTCAAAAGTTTGTGGTCCTTCGTGGACTACTTGACGCCATGAAGGCCTATAATTTGCCGTTGTCTCATCCCAGTTGCTAGTTTCGATGCGGCAGTCTACCATATTCTTCCTTAGAACCTCCTTGTAGCGTTTTAGGTCAACAAAAACGCCTGATTTCGATTTTCCTTTTTCAAGTTTAATGCATTTACATTGAAAATAAAACGGGATGATATTATAATTTCGAAATAATTAATAATATAGCAAAACACCCCAAACAGAGCCGACTGCAGCACAAACACGATGCAGTTGACATCACAAATAAATTATCATATTGTACCTACACACCACTGTTCCCCATCCGTTTACCGAGGGTAGGATTTACAGTTCAGTTTACGCCCCTACCATTTCCGAATTTTGTCTAGTGCGCAAATTGCTTTTTCGCCACCTTATGTTGCGGGGCCTGTACGTCAAGTTGAATATCAAGCGTAATTTTATCCTTGTCAGACCACGGGCAATGAACAAGGACAAGGAGATGCCTAGCGTGCAAAAGGATTACTTAACACCTGTACTAGTTAGCCAATAAAAATGCATTGCCTCGTGTTGCGCGCGCATACAGGTAAAAATATATAGGTCTATTCTGCAGTAATTTCAATCAAGAAACTTTTCTTTTTCTTTTTTCTGATACAATCCTGTTGCGTGACTCCGTTCCACAGCTTTTCTCGCCGAAACCATCTCTTTCTCTTTTTGCGTACTGGATTAGAGAGACATACATATATCAAATCAAATCAAAATCAAATCAAAATATTTTATTAGAAACAAATAAGCAAATTATAGTATTTATGATCAATTAAGGCCGCGTTAATGGCCGCCATGTTTAAATTTAGTTTTTGAAAATGACGACTGCGTCACTCTACACATAGGGTTCAATATTTTATTATTTGTTCAAAACAAAATCTGTTTGTCGGTGAAACACTTAGTGACAGAGAAAGACAAATATACAACTATGATGCTCCCAATGTAGCTTTTTTGCCGTGGCGCCATCTACTTGAAATTGCTTGAACTCTTTTCACCTTCAAAATTCGTTTTAAGGTCATCTCAAAAAATCCGCAATAATTTCCAAAATCCTTTGGCATAAACATTATTTGATATATTATCTACAATCTCTGCAATTAGTTTTTTTTTTGTTTTTCGTGGTTATCAATATAGTACATTAAAATACAAGTTTCATAAAATGTTTTATGAAACGAATATTTTATACTATTTTTTTTATTTTGGTATTATTTAATTTAAAAAAAAACAAATTTTTCAAATTTTATTCTCATATTTCCTGACTTCATATGTTTGGGTTGGTAACACTACATACCAAATATAGAAATCTTCTATTATAAAATCGCGAATGACAGTTCGATAACCATCAATCAGCCAGTGTCACCAACCTCCGATAAGTAAAAAAGGAGTGTCACAAAGAGCTTCTTTTCGAAACTACTTTTAGTGTCGAAAAGACTTCGAAATGACACCAAAATAGAAAAAATATGTTTTTCACGGATCCAAGCTTGAAGCTTGTAAATATGCAACCACCAACACATTTAATTGTTTTGGTGGTTGCGAACATGATTTTTGAATTAAAAAAAAAAAGGCTGAATAGCTGAATATCGACAAACCAAAATAAGGAATTGTAGATAATCGATCAAATAATGTTTATGAAATTTGAGCCAATTCTGATGTGCCGTTTTTTTAAAGACCCTAAAAAAAGTTTCGAAAAATCTACCAATTACAGTTTGAACATGGCGGCCATTAACGCGGCCTTAAATTTATATAATTTATATCCTTGTAGTTTCTAACCTTGTTTTCAAGAAAAATATGGAGATGCATTATAAAGTTCTACAAGGAACTTGTTTAAAGCCTGCCATACGTCATACGTCCCTTATTTTAAGGTCCATGTCCTGCTTCCCCAAGTTTGTTGTCGGGACGCGTAAAGTCTGTTTTTTTTTTAAAGATAAATGTCAAAATGACATTAGGTTGGCAATAAAATGTAAAATTGTCAATGCTTTCATTATGTAGAAAAGGCTTGTCTTGCCAACATAGTTAATAAATTTTTGACTTGGGGAATTAGGCAATTCAAACCACGTGACATTCAAGATGGCGTGGCGGCCACACATGGGCCAAAAAACACAAAAAAATATCTAGTTTCTGCCCGAATTATTAGTTTAGGCACCTAGTCAAAAAATAGTTTATTAAATAATGAAAATCAAAGTTGTTAGCAAAACTGTATGCAAAATAATTTGAAATACGCATAAAAACATATTCAAAACAAACTTGCTTGGCCGCCACGCCACATTGAATTTTCCTTTTTGACAGATGGATTGAATTGCCTAATTATCTTTAAAAAAAAAACAGACTTTAAATGTCCCGCATTCTCTGATATTTTAGAAAGCGTAAAATAATTTGATTTTTACGTGTCATTCTTAGTCTCTGCGGTGGCATAAATAAATCGATTTTTCCGCCTCATCTCTAGTCTCAGCAAATCGCAACATGCGATCGGTTATGCAAAAGCATTTGACATTCGACAGTCTAAAATTTGGCGGGTTTGGCCCAAGGATAATACAATGGCAAGGCAGTTTGAGAGAGGTAGGTTGCCTGGTCACCATATCCGAAGTCTGACGTCATTGACTAAGTCGTCAGCTATTTGCACTAGCGGTCGTAGTTTAGAATTTGAATTTATGAAGAAAATTATTATTAAATTTTGATTAACATACCTAATAGGCAAACAGGAAGATGAAAACGATACCTATCTAAAAAAGGGTTGTTTTTATAGA